ATGTATGAATTTAAAACTTACAAGAAAATAACATTACATTCAAAGCCAATTTCTCAGCTTTTAAAATAAAGAAATGTGAATTTGTCAAGTAAATATCTTCAGATGAATCTACTATCTGATTTAATTTATTATTTCTAAGTTGAAAATCTGTATTGTGAGTATCAAATTCTATCTTTTATTAATTTTTCTATTTCTATTATATTTTTAACATTATTCAACACTAAGCATTCCTTCTGTATAATCAACTCTTGCCTGTATTTAATATTACACAAGGACTCGTCATAAGCACTGCTTGTATATGAGTATAATGGAAGAATAATAATAATAATAATAATAAAATCAGCAGTGAACAGTCAATGTTAGAGCTGATTTTGAAAAGTCTTTAAAATTGTAATGTGACGGCGCCGAGGCGGTTGCTACTCGGCAGCGGCACAGAGGAGGATGGTATATAATGGAAAGCTTTATGAGTGGGCTTGATTATCTCACTTGAACCGCGAACTTATAGAATACTATACAAACACTGAACTACCAGAGGTACTCAGCACACTAAGAATATTGTATGAGGACAGTGGTAACTCTGGTATCTTATTGTTAAAAGATAAAAGATGAATCACTGGCTTCTGGAATAGAGAACCAGCATCTAGCTATTCTATATAGACAACGGGCAGCCATCCTCCCCTCATTCTATGAGTGAGGGTAGCTGAAGCAGCTCCGCAGCGGTGCTACATTGATCTGCCAGAAGGAATCTACTAATCCTGTATAGAAACAGGATTCTCATATTCCATCAATTGGATCCTCTTCTATTGCATCTGAATGATGTCATAGGGTGGTTGGAAACCGGTTCGGACATCTGCGTGATGTCATGGGATAGATGGGATTATCCGAAGGGAAGCGATGGGCTGTGCGGAGCCGCCACGGGGCCTTGGCACAACCAAGGGTGTGACAAAAATATTTAAAGAAAAATCTCATTCAATTGTTCTATTCATCTTCACTGAATGTCTGCTCACATGGGTATATGTGGCAATGAAATAACTGATAAAGCTGCAAAAAAAGCAACTGAATTAAAAGTCTGCTTTCAAAGAATTGTAATATAAACTGTAACAGGCGTACATCGATTAACGATCTAGCACTATTCTAAATACAGGTTACGAATTGATTAAGAAAAGAAAGAGAAAAGAGATCAGAAGGAAAGGTCATACGAAGAGGGTTTTTATAGAAAGGAGATCGGGATGGAAGAATATCAGAAGCCGCCCCAAAGTGGAGCACGAAGCGGAAGAACATTGAGGGTTACAAGGAAGAATCGTTAGAACTACGCGAGCGCGGAGCGTGAGGCAGAAGGAGTTATAACCCACTGTTCACATTCTTCTCTTTTTTGAAATCCAATCTCATCAAAGTTGTAGATATCACAGTGAAAAAAATGATATTGATTGAAGACAATTTCATATCAATCAAATCAATTGATAATGAAATTTATATTTTTGTAAGACATCTATCTGTTTTGAATTCATAAACTTTTATTTGATTTATTTGTAATCTGATAGATGTTTGATGAATTAATATATTCATATCTTGCTTACTGTGAGAGATGCAATCTTTGAATCTGTATAATGCTGTCTCAACATGCAGTTTGTGGTGGCTTCAATATACTCAATGATGAATGAGTAAAAATTAATATTCAATTGATGAATTCATACCTTAATTGCCTCCTTCTGACTGTTATTTAATGCTCTATTCAGTGGAACCCTCATAGTTTTTGATTTTTCCCCATTGATCTTTTCATACAAAATGACATATAGAATTTTGAATTCTTGTGACAGAGATGTGATTTTTAATTTTGAATTGCTTTTATATATGTCAACAACTCTTTGCAACTGCTCCTCAGTGTAATTAGAAGATTTAGACATGGTTATAATTAATGATGATTATTTGAAGATGAAAAATGAAGATATTGATAATATTTTCTGTACAGTGTGGTTTTCCGTACACTGTGGCGCACTCACTAGAGAGAGTGAGCATGGCACATACCTGTATATGTGTGGTGCGCTAGTCCGTGATAGGCAGCCGACGGCCAACAAGCATTTAAATTCCCAGCGCAAGGAGCTTGGACCACTTTCTTTGAGCCCAAATGGGACAGATATTGCGATCCCGAATAACATTTTATCCGCTGTCCAGCCTCAACCGACTACAGGTGTTGCGAGAAATTTCCAACCGTTTGTGGATTCAAATTTGGCGCCAATGGTTTAGATCCCTGTGTCAATCCAGAGAAAATGGTGTTAGCTCTGCAGTCCCTCTTAGTTTTGCTGTTATCCATATCCCTGGCGGCTGGAGAGGACTCATCCGCCGGCAGCCACGAAGTCCCAATATTAGCAAAGGAACTACGGAGAGCTTCTAATGAATCGCTATTATGGGGCCCGTATAGGCCGAATTTGTATTTCGGTGTCCGCCCGCGCATTCCCAAGAGCTTGATCATGGGATTGATGTGGGCGAACGTGGATGAATTTCAAAATATACAAGAGAGTAGGTACACATTTATTGTTAAGGGGAATCTGGGATCGCCCCGGGGCTAATGCGTCGTTGCTTTACTCATATTAATTACTTGCGGCCTGCTAATTTTTCCTGAAGAGTTTAGACATACATGCGAACAAAACGAGGGCATGGCTGGGTATGGGTGGGATGAGTACGATATCCGCAAGGGCGGCCGCCAGACGATCCACGATACGGGAAACGCCATAGACCTCACTATCGACTTTATAAAGGTGCCGGGAGGAGGCAACGGAGGGAATTGGGGTGCACGTGTCAAGGGTACTCCTCGCGCGGATGCTTCTCCTGACCAAGCGACAACGGTTGTCTTCTATGCTGCGATCGAAGGCTTGGGGACTTTGGAACTCGCCAACGAGGTTGATGCTCTGGGATACAAAGATGCTGTGAAATTTACGGGATCTACCGTAGGCCTTGGTGATTTCTCTCTCTACTTAACTCGCGGACCCGAGAGTAATGCGCACCCTCCCAGGAGACATGCGGCGTATGATGACAAACCATTGGACAGGACGATGGTTGCAGGACTTCAGGTCCCCCCGGACGTACTTTGGAACGCAAAATGTTTGACTAATACCTTTATATTCCATCTGTGTACTGTTTTCCAGAGAAAGGCTAATATATGCTGATGGTAACGCTGGGGTCCGAAGCGCTTCTTTTTATGCACATGAAAGAGGAGATCGATGCTACCTTGAAGAAGTACGGAACGGATAATCCCCTTCCTCCTGCGCAACTTATCACAATCGCCAATAAGCCCGATGCTGGGAACATGTATTTCGTGCAAAGGGCCTTTGAAGGCTCATTTGAGGTCTGTCCTCGGTTCTACTACAACCACCTCTTAATATCCCTTGCTGACTATGGAAAGTTCGATATTCTTTTCTCATCTGCTTCCTCGCCAGCCCCTATGACTTGTACGTTGAACTCCTCTTAGCCACCCTGCACATGGAAGGGATCCTAGGACCCTATCTAATACTCCACAGCGACGGTACTCACGGAAGAGATTGAGCCCGCCTCCGCCTCCTTCTCCAAAAAGTTCAAAGATGTATTCCCCCCCCTCCCCCCTTTTAACTTACCGAAATACACCGAGTTTTCGAAAGCCATGTTTTCGAACTTGGTTGGTGGCGTTGGATATTTCTATGGCGATTCCGTCGTCGATCGATCCAATTCACCAGAATACGAAGAAGAAAACGAATTATTTTGGGAAGAGACCGAACAAGCACGAGCTCAGGTAAAGCCTAGCGTAGATGGCCCGTTAGAGCTGTTTACAAGTATACCGTCTCGGCCATTCTTCCCGCGTGGCTTCCTCTGGGATGAAGGATTCCATTTGATCCCTGTTATTGAGTGGGACCTCGACTTGGCGTATGTTTTTTTTTTGCCGAACCAGGTTTTGATTGCAATTGCTAACAGGTAGTAGATTGGAAATAACGAGGAGCTGGTTCAATCTTATGGATGATGATGGATGGATTGCACGTGAACAGATCTTGGGTCCTGAAGCCCGTAGTAAGGTGCCCACTGAGTTCCAGGTTCAGTACCCACATTATGCGAATCCCCCAACATTATTTATGATCCTTGAGGCATTCGTGGAGAAAATCCAATTGAGCCGGAAACAAGCTGGGGTTCGCGATGGTCCCTCCGATATCCGTTCAGCACATTTGGAAAACCCGGATCTTGCTATTTTGTACCTTCGGTCTGTATACCCTCTACTTAAACGCCAGTTCTTTTGGTTTAAGAAAACTCAGTGGGGTGACCTCAAATCGTACGATCGGGAAGCTTTCTCTTCGAAGGAAGCCTACAGATGGCGAGGGCGATCTATTAAGCACATTCTAACTTCCGGACTCGACGATTACCCGAGACCCCAGCCGCCTCATCCTGGTGAGCTTCATGTCGATTTGATCAGCTGGATGGGAATGATGAGCCGAGCGATTAGACGGATTGCCGAAACCTTAGAAGAAGCTGAAGATGCGAAAGAATTTGCGGCCTATGAGACTAGGATCATTCGTAATATTGACGATCTACATTGGGACAAAGATGCTCAGACTTTTTGCGATGCTACTGTTGATGATTTTGAGGAGCATGTGCATGTCTGCCACAAGGGATATATATCACTTTTCCCATTTATGACGGGTCTGGTACCTGCAGATAGTCCGCGGCTTGGGCCTATTTTGGATCTTATCCAGGACCCAAAAGAGCTTTGGAGCGATTACGGTATTCGTAGTCTGAGCAAAAAGGACGAATTCTATGGAACAGACGAAAACTACTGGAGGGGCCCTATCTGGATTAACATCAACTACATGATTCTCAAAAATCTTCTTGTAAGTCGTAACCTGATCTGGAAATCCATTTTAAATCGATTAATTGAACCTGAAAGAATGCTCCTAATATATATATATATATATATATAGGATGTCGCCACGGTGCCTGGACCACATCAAGAACAAGCACGTAAAATGTATATCCAACTCCGTCAGAATATTGTTGACAATGTGTTTAATCAGTGGGAAGAGACTGGATTCGCATGGGAACAATATAACCCTGAGACAGGCGCTGGCCAACGAACACAGCATTTCACGGGGTGGACGAGTTTAGTGGTGAAGATGATGGTCATGCCAGATTTGAGCGCAGACCACCGAACCCGCCATGAGGAATTGTAAGAGTATCGCCTACAATGGATATTTTCTTATTTATACATAGACATTTTAGAGTTTTTTGATTTTTTCCCTTTATTTTCATTAACATGTGGGTTATATTAGGTGTATTGTATTGTAGCGGTGATGTCAAACTTTGTAAAAGGCTCCAGTGACCCTCATTATCTCATTAATCATTTTGTTCCTTTCTATCTTCCTCGATCATAGTCTTCGTTCCTCCTGGAACAGCGATCATGATGACTTCGACGCTTAGCGGGAGAAGAGCTCCGTTCACGGGCACGCTTCTCCCTCGCGCCTCTCCCCCGCCATCGGTCTTGGCTCCGTGATCTAGATAATGGACGGTGCCTTTTATAGGCGTCCATATCACTTGATCTCGAACGATGTCTTCGCCTCCCAGTCGATCTCGAGCGGCCCTGGTATCGAACCCCATAATCTCTATCCGCAGATGGAGAGTGGCGCCTTCGTCTTATTTGGCGTTCATCAATTCTTTCGTGTCTTTTACTCCTCCTATCTCTTCCTGCTGCGCGATCTTCATCGCTATTCATATCTCCCCTTCGACGATCGCCATTCTCACCACACCCGCCCCGAGTTCCCCGTCCATCTCGTGTCCCACGCTGCTCCAGCCCGTTTTCTGGCACCATTTCATAACCTGTCCCTTCCATCCTATCTCCCTGATCTCCAGCCTTTGTACCTCCCGTTCCCCGAAACGACCCAAACCCAACACCCCTGGAACCGCCACCATCCTGCGCTCCCTCGTCGGCCGCATTAGATTCCTGAATAGCCCTCTCTACCTCTTTCCCACCCAGAGGCGTCATATTTGCATTATTGGAGCTCCTCGAGGCGACAGGTAAACCTAATGCGCGTGCCATCGCTTCTTGTTCCGCCTCCTTAATGCGTTTAATCTCCTCCTCCCGCTCGCTGCGTAGTTTTGCCGCAGCTTCTTCGGCAGATCCTGCTGCGTCCTTGTCTCCCTTGGCATACCAGGATAGATCGCGATTTTGCTGCCACCGTCCGACGGGGGCCATGAGGGAGTGACCAAGGTAGTTTTCGCGGTGTGTGGAAGTTTTGACGTCGGACCATTTGAAAGAGTCGCGGCCGCCGCTGTTAGGGGTCAGTTAGAATATAGGTTTTTTTTGCCGGATTTTCCTTCTAAGTGATGGAAATTTGCTCTATTCAAATGTGGGGAACGAGGGGAATAAGTGTGGGATTTCTAACCGGCTGCCTTCCTTTCGAATACTCGCCACGAGATCCATTATTGCTCTGGCGAGACGTGGCTTGGGATTTCTCTATCAATCCTTGGGAATTGTTGACACCACTGCTCTCAACATCAGCACGTAGGAGAGCGCTCAAAGATCAAACCGAGAGGAGATTGGGAAATCCAATATTGCATTCACGCTAATTAAGAGGTTTGAGAATTCAGATCGACATGAAGGACTTGGTGATGGTTGTGGCAATGCTGAAGCTTTTTGGATGACTAAGTCAAAGTCTGGGGTGTAGGAATTTTAGCCTAATAGGTCTTAGTGGATTGGAGCTATGACCTCAACTGACAACCGCCTTGAAGATCCAAACTCCCACTCCGATACTCCTTGTGCAAAGTCAGCGTCGGTGATATGACGCACATAAATTGAAGTGCGGTTTAGACGTCGTGAGCTATATTGCGCTGCTACCTCGACCGTGTGCTATACACAATTGTCATCAATCAAACCTCTAGTTAGTTTCATTAAGTACCCTTGGCCACCTGCCACTCTAAGCCCTTCTGAAATGAACGGCTCTAAGTATTTCTTGCATCTCCTTGGCTTTTATATCTGGTTAGCTATCTAAGTCTGGAGCTGCTTGGTTGCAAAATCTCGATTGATGTTGAAGTGGAGGCTTTCTTTTCCTGTTACATGGGTTTATATTTCTCATGGAGTCGGGACGTGTGAGCCTCGCGAAAGGAGAGACCCTCGGTCGCCTGTCCTTCCAGGATCGGGACGAAAAAGTTCGTGTAAAGGAGAATGGAGTTGAGATAGGAAGCAAATATGTATGTCACCGCCTAGGACATCCATTATGAGATCGATAGCTCTTCTGGCGAGATTGGATCGCGGCTAATCGGGCGGTAGTTCCTACGGTATGGCCCCGGCTTGACCAGACTACACGGCAGCCTGAACGCCTTACTAATTAATGTATTTAAGAGAATTCAATGAAGCTCCTCCGCGGTCTGCCTACTGGAGAAATAATTTGGTATATTACTTTGGTCCTCCCCACCTCTTAGCTGCTGCATTGGTTGACAACGTTTCTAGACTGCTCTATCTCAGCACCGCAACCTTTATTTTGTGGCCTTTGGACATCAGATTTACGTATATCAGCCTCCTAGTCGCGATCGCGTGCTTGCACCTAAGCCCAAAATGATAATAACACCGATAGCTAAAAATCCCACTGCTCCTGGTTACATCACCCGGCACAACCCTCATATTATTAACGTCATTCGTGTTGAGGATCTCGGACATGAGGAGATACTACTTCTTGCCACTGATTCGGGTAACATTGCGGCCTATCGGACTGAACGTATATTTGCGGTCATCGAAGAAGCCAGGGTGACTGGGAATGACCAGCCGACAGAACTTGGTGAACTTGTTGACTGCTTTTTTAGTGATTGGGTAGGCCAAAGTGCTTGGGGCCTTGCGATCCACAAGACTGCCAGAATGATTGCAGTAAGCTCCAATTCCTGGTGTATTACTGTTTTCGCTTTCGCGTTGGTGGATGATGCGTCCGTTGCGAGTGATGCTGCGAAGAGTTTAGGCACTCCGCAGTCTTCACCCACAGCTCGTCAATCCTTAGAGTGGACGAATGTGAGTTCAGAGTCACAGTATAACATACTCCGGCGAATAAAGCCAGAAAAGCGGCGGGCCTATAACATTCGGTTCACTTTAGTTGGCCACAAAAAGAATATTCCAAACATTGACTTTTTAAACTCTGATCTTGATCCCGACGGTGATTGGTTGATTAGCACCGACATCGGTAACAAACTTATGATGTTCAATATCTGGGAATATCCCACTCCGGTGAGAGTCATCGACATTCAGCAGGACCCACCAAATCATCCGGGTCGTTCACATGAGAAGTAAGCTTGTTCACTACCTTTCTAAGCAATAATCTGTAACCTGCTTACTTGAATTTAGCCGCCAACTTGGGTGGAGTGTTCTGGCTCTTGATCCACGTAACTTCAGGCCCAAATCAACCTTGACCCGATTGCTTGGGGCGGCACTCCGCGTAAACATATTCATAATGAAGACGTTTATGATTTGACTGCTCTTGCACAAAGCATGCGATCCAACTATCTGCCAGAGGAGCCTCTACATCCTGATGATGTCGCTGATGAATCAGACGATTTATCAGACGAAACATTTTCACTAGGATCTGATATCCCTGCTTCGTTAGACTCGCCCATGGCCGCCGACGAAACGGTTCTGAATCACTTCTCACCTTGCTGTCCAATGTATCCTGGTGAAGGGAAGGAGTATGGGAATAATCAGAAGCCTTTTGGAAATCTTGAGAGCGAGCAAAATATATGTTTAGATAGAGGTAATGAGGACGAGAATGATGCGCAACTTCATAATTTACTTCAAGAGTCGATTTCAGACTCAATGGAGGATACCCCTTGGAATAGCGACCTCAATCGCCTTCCAGGGTCATGGCCTTCTCTCCATGGTGACCCGACAGGTCTGGTAACTGACCCTGAGCTGGCTGATGATCTTATTCTTTCTGTAATTGACACCACCGAAGATATTCCTAGTAATACAAATGACTCTGACATCCAAGAGGATGACGGAGACGATGGCGATGAATATTTGGATCACGCGGATGAAGAAGACGAGGAAGAGGTCGAAGAAGAGGAAGAGGAAGAGCATGAGGATACCCAAAGTGACGAAGAAGTGTACAACTACGAATACGCTGCCTTCCAATACGGCGGGAGCAATGGCGACAGCTCCCTTTTTGAAAGTCTTCAGCAACATAACCAGGGTGGAGACTCTATCGACCCACTCTTCCCCGATATTTCGGACTGGCTTTCCGACACCGAAGATCCGGAGCCACTTAAACCCTTATTCGCAGATTTCCCCATTCTTCATTTCACTCAAACCTCAGTCCGCATGTTCCCTCATCCATTTGCCAAAAAGTCCACTGTCATCCTCCGCGATGCGCTGACCCAAGATCTCATCAACATCCCCCTGGATCTTGACATGGTCGATCGTTTTAACATTGTCCACCAGATCCCGGAACTTGGCATCGTCCTGGCAGCTTCGCAAAAGGGGCGGGTCGGAATATTCTCTCTGACCGAATATCCTGATGGCATGGCTTTTAGGCTCGACCATGTCATTCCATCTGAAAGTCAAGAGCGACAGAGAGCCAGACCTTTCGTTCAACTTGCGGGAATGGCAATAGGCCCTGTGGAAAGCCATCTCATTCCTCTCGACGAGAGCAGCTACTCTACGTCCTCCTCTCCACTAACAGAAGACAACCACACTACTTCTGCTAGGCAGTCACATCATTCATACCACAGCCGTAGTGTAGGAAACCATACAGAGAGCACCCAAACGGGGGAGCATAGCTCTCGAACCTACTCCGGCCGCCAAGTTCCGGATAACGGCTTTCAAGTTCGTCAAGAACAATGGCACGGCATAGAATTCTCGCGCCGCTACCGGGTCATACTAATGTTTACAAATCTGACCCTACTACACTATGAGATCTTCTACGACTGGCCCGCAGATATGATGGGCCCTCATGGTCAGCTTCTACAAGAGGTTGGGAGAGGATCCCTACTGAGACCGTGATCAAGGCTGTGGGTATACAAACCACCAAACAACTTCCCCCCC